AGGCAAATGTCGTGTGCGTGAGTTGCAAACGTTGTGTGTGTACCACGGAAAAATGGCACCCTGAACTAAGTCTGAATAAACAAAAAACAAACCAGAATTTGGGGAACTCGCTAAAAAAACTTCAAATTTGATCGGGTAGGGAGGAGTCGCAAGGAAAATTAGGTGGAGGCAAACGACCGCAAATATTATAGAAAGGAGGAAACAAAACAAAAAAATGAAATTCCAAAATTTATTGCTTAGGGGCAATGCTCAACAGAATCCAAACAATATATAAAAAAGGAAGTGTCTCACCACAAACTCAATCAAACTGGTGATCTAAAAAAAAAGAAGAACCAGTGTGACGTCTGGACAGAATGGGACTAGATTAACTTTGATCTTCAAAAAATGCACTTAATGAAACTACGTCAAACTACGAAAAAAATTGGAAGCCAATTAATGACACTTTGCTGGTCACAAGAAATAGGAGCATGGATTCAACAAAATTTTAAGTCAAGCAAATACAAGCCAAAAAATGAATGAATTTCAACAAAAAAACCAAAACCTAACCAAAAACAAAACTAAAATAACCGAAAGCCAACACAGCATATAAGAGGGTTGCAAAACAATTAACACAACAGCTTTGACAATCTGCAACATTAAAAAACAAAGAAAAATAACGAATACATGAAAAAGATAGAGGATTATATGCAAAAAGTAACTTTAAAAGTTAAACAAGGTAAATGTTATAAGTCTATAAAATAAGATGACCAGTCCCTATAGTTCCATAGTTAGTTCACACAAACCATCTGGCTCTCCCTTTCACAACCTGTAAACAAAAAACCACAGCCAGAGGTGCATGTAGCAGTCCAAACCACCAAAATCCCTGTGAATCCCTAATGGAGGATAAGACTATCCCTGCCTTCAAGGTCAGCTGGCTACAGACAAACCAAGTGCTCAACCCGGCTTGAGGCTAGAGGAGACTTTAGTCCTCCCACCGTAAATCAATCAGTAACACAATCATTATGTATAAAAGATGACCGGAGTTAATGTTAACCAAATGAATAAGGAACAAGTCTAAACTGCTGAAACACTAACTCCATTGTAAAGCATCTCTCCTTACATACCAGACCACTGATCTTATGAATGGGACTCTACTACACGTATCAGTTAAAGAGTGAAAGGAAATGTACATGTACATGTATATGTAATATACAAAGCAAGAAAGAAAATCGCTGTTAAATACTTAGGCTTAACCTTAATAAGGAAAACAAGGTGAAAACAGCTCTGAAGTGTGAAAAAAAATGTTTGAGAGCTTGAATCCTTTCAACAAAGGTATGCAGGGCAAAGTAATACATTTTAGTCATTACTGTGGCACAAAACTACACAAATCACGATGAGTAAAAGTTAAAACTTGTCACAACTAAATTCCTCTAGTTTTCCATCCCAACAGCAAAGAACGTCACTAATAAAGACAGAGCAATAAAATGGTAAACGTAATCAAGTAAGGATGCATAAAAATCAGGAACAGGAGTAAATGTGTAGAATTCATGAATCGAGCACAAACATGACCAGGCTGTAATACCCATCTCTCACAAGTTACATGTATTTCATAAAACATGAAATAAACATATTTTTTAAAATAAGCCTACAAAGGTTAACCGAGAGGATGGAAACTCAAGTACACGCACATGTACCTGGCCGTAGGCATTGTATTGATGTAACAAAAACTTCACAATTTAATGCAAATATCCCAAAAAGAACCTAGGGTAATCTACAGCACACAATAAAAATCTTCTTTCCAACAGTTTCATTAAGGAAAACAAAGTAATATAAGGGAACTTACCGAAAAAACGGCAGACTAAGCGAGGGGCAGAGAACTCATAAAAATGTGGTGTGTGCTCTTCACTGCCAATCTGCAAAACTGGGTGGGTCTAGAAGGAATGCTGAGCACATGGTGCTAAATCAAAGGGGCTCTTTGTTCAAGGGTCTAATTACTGTAGAATGATATTACCTTACCGGGGGGGTGTAGCTTAAAAAAGAAAATCATTTTCCAGGGAAGGGAACTGAACTTATTGTACATAAAGAAGATTACAATCATCCTCCTTACATGTGTAAGCGTGGCAAACATAGTGTGGACCTCTGCACAAAAGAATTAATGTAGGGCGCGATGGCGTTGTGTGGACTCGCACGCGTCCACATAGCCTAATGTTTTCCCTCTAGTTTCAGAGGCACTTTGGAGTCAAGGTTATTTGTGGCAAAATGAAGAGGAACAGTCCAGGAAATCATCATCAAAAATCCAGCTCGAAGGAGTTATCGTAGTAGGATAAAAACGAGCATTTTCCTCAAGTTTCCTTAACCACGGGAGAACAAAAGAATGTCCACACTTTGTATGCAAACAGGTGTGGGTGTGTGCGAGTTGGAACCTCGGTTTGTGAATTGCAAACGTCGCGTGTGTCTGGGAAGCAGGCTTGTGTAGAGAGTACTGTGTGTAGTCTACGCTACCAGACGCTGGGCCAAGAGAGCCTGGAAGTAAAAGGTCACTCAGTGAGCTTCCAGAACCTCGCGCTGTCCTCCTATGGGGATTTTACGTTCACGTTCGATAATTTTTGGAAGAATAATTCCTAACTGAAACCACCCCATGAAACAGTCATGTTGGAATATTAACTTAGTCTTCCTCAAGTAATATTTAGGAAAAGTTACATTGAGATATGTAAAAAACGAATTTTCCTAACGACCTTTCACTTCCGGCGATATCGTACCTAGGTCTCCATGTTCATGCACGTTTGTTTTCACTGCCCGTGCTTACTTGAAAACGAGATTGTACAACGTTGCAAAGATTTACCTACTTGCAATTGATGGGTTCCAGATTCCGTTGAATTGACATCATGCAATTGTTGTCAGCAAAGGTTAGATAAAACATTAGAATTTTTCATAAATGAAGTAGAATATTGCTTTAGGCTTACTACTTATAAATTATAAGAGTGTTTAAAATATTTTGTCTGTTTTTATTTCGGTTTTTACCGACGGACTACCATAAAATTTCAAACCGTAAATATTCAGCTATGTACGAGACTGGCGCATTGCACTGTCCTTCATGTATTTTAGATTTTCGGAAGTGATGGGTCAATTTTTGGCAGGATATTTCTGTTTTAGGTTAGGTGATTTTTCCGTTTCTATAACTTGATCTACTAACAAATATTTTCAAAGCCCCTCTTCCGAGTTGGATTTTTAAAGACTGTAACTGGACGAAAAAAATATTACAAATTCTAAAATCTCTGCACATTATTTTTCCTCTCCAAGGGTTCCAGAAGCGCGCCATCAGAGGTCAACTTTTAGGCTCTATAGAGGGATCCCAATACGACGCTTTTAGCGTCGATCTGTGCACTTCTGCGTTTGAAAATGAAGCTGTACGGTATGTGTCAGATTCAATTCTTAAATAAAGACTTTTCAGGCTGCAAATTTTTGTGGAACGGAGTCTTTCAGGATGACTCGACACATAAAATCAAAAGAAAAAAATAACGGCAATTTGCAGTTTGCAATTCACACACACGACGTTTACAATTCACAAACACGACGTTCCAACTCACACACACGACATTTGCTTGTCCGCTTTAGAACGCTATACCTTTTACTACAGTTATGCAACATTACGTCGATTATTCATTCAACGCTTAGACAACATTTGCCTGCTAAATAATCGTAACCACAATGAAGCAAACTATGGGACAGGGAGAACCCCACCCTGCTCTTGTGCTGGTCAATGTTATACTGGTATCTCAGGAATTCTTTTCAGATATCTAGGGGGGATGTGTCAAGTGATAATATAGGCTCGAGTGTGTAGGCCTATACGGATTGGACTCGTTGGGGGATACCCCTCTGTCCCATTTCGTGCCTGGTATAATCATAGAGGAAGGTATGATCGTAAGACAGGCAAAAGAAATAACCGACGAAGCCAGGTCGTATACCAGTCCCAACTGCATCGGGAAAATTTCACTTGAATCAAATCTCCCTTTACTGAATTGGCTTGCCCACTGGGCAAGTCCAATCCCCACTTTAATACTGCGCTGTATATTCTACACGTGTAAACATAATCCTGTGAGCGCATGCGGCATGCATGCAGCTGATATTATCGACCTGTGAAAAAAGGGTTATAACCACAATGAGCACCATCCCAAATTATTTCCGACAATATGGAAAGGACATTGAAAGATCTTTTAGGACCGAGGTGTTCATCCGGGTGTAGCCGATTGGCCTATCAAAAAGGCGTTTGTAATTAATTCAATGGTTCTCATATTTTCACCTGAGGGAAGATCGGTCGGTTGGTCGAGGGGAGGGTGTAATATTATTTCTTAAGATTAAGTTTGTCCCATATTTTTCTTTGAAGGAAATTCCACACAGGGTCACTGGCATAAAATACTTTCCCCTCAGTCGAAGCCAAAATGATAACCATTAGCCTTTTGAAGCAAGGTGGAGACAATATAAGTGGGCGCTATTTGAGGTGCGTAAAAGATTCGACCCAAACCACTAAATAGCGCCCTTGTCAGGCTCTTCCAAACCCCAAACAGGCTAACACGGCCCGAACGAGGTTACTCTTATTCGCTTTCTTTATGTACTGGGCGATAACCGTGACGCGGTGCACTCAGTTGTATGCATGCAGCAGCTCTCAACAAAGGGTGACCTCTAACTTGCACCGACGGCCGACAACGGATGCCCTTAGTAAGGCTTACATGCACTTGTATGTGCATACGCCGGGAGCAGTTTAGTTACAATATTGGCCAATAATGATGCGCACCGGCAGAACTCGGGTTAGTGGTTCTTACCAGAACTGGTGTGCGGTTCTTTGCCTTTTCATGAGCTTCTTGTTTTGGATCGGGATGCTCAAAGGTCTAGGAGTGATGTTGCCAACACTACAGGAACAATTCACAGCCCAGACTTGGCTGATCGGATGGATAATATCTGTCATCAATGGCATGATCTATGTGTCAGGTAATATGCTCAATTGTAACCTTGGCTTTACACCTTTACCTGGTTAACTGGTTTGAAAATCATTTTTCCCTATGGCAGATCAAGGAGCCAACGGGGGTCATGCCCTCCCCCCGGCAGATTTTTCTTTGAAATAATTAGGAAAGCGAATATTGGGGGTCTGTTTTATTTCTTTTCGTTCCTAATGCGTGTAAAAGGCCAAAATATAGCCCCACCCCTCAAAGGACCATAACATTTACATTACAAAATACCCTATTTTTGCCCCCACCCCTGTTCTGGATGCCTTTCTGTTTCCCCGTCCATACTGTCGTTTTTTTTATTGAACTTGTTAGGAAATGGTTTTTGTTATACCCCTTCTTGAAGTATCGCTATGATATTACTGACCCGCTTGTCCGGCTAATATGCATGCAGTAATGAGGCATTTTTGGAATGTTTTCTATTATTCGTCAGACTCGATGGCGACCATCATCGAACAATTGGAAGTACTAGAGTTGCAACTCCAACTGTGTCCGTCTTCTGTGATCTTAGCGAGGTATATCCTTTTAAGCGGGGCC